CAGCAGCGACGGCGGCGTCGAGCGGCGGCAGCGGGAAGCGCGGCAGCCGACGCGTCGCCTACCAGGACACCATCACCGAGCTGGCCGAGGGCGCGGTGAGTGCCTTGCGGGAACGCCGGATTGGGTCAGGCTTCAGTTGGTGCCACCAGGCGCAACACTAATGCAACACCCCCCCATAAATTAAATATATAAATATTTAATATCGATTACTTTAGATATATTTAAAGTAAGTAACGTTATTATAGGTGTCTCACCTAAAATGGCGTCACCCGGGGCAACCCCCCCCCCCCCCGCCTCCTAATTACAGCACTTATTGTCAGGACACGTCCTTGTGTGTGTGATATTATTGCATGGAACTGAAACCCAAAGTGTTGTCTCAGAGCTATACTTCCATTTTTCTAAAGTGGCTAATGACATTACGTCATTGTTACACGTCCTTCCTTATAAAATTAATATTTTTAACAGTGGTAATCACATTTCTGAAGCCACGAGTCCGTGTTGAAAAGGACGTTTGCTGATTAATTAAAAATATTCATTTTATAAGGCAGGAGCAGTAACAATGACCTAATATCATAGACCACAATAGAAATATCGAAGTATAGCACGCAGACAGCACGGTGGGTTTCAGCTCTATTCAACCACCTCACACCCACATACAAATATACATTACACTCTATTCACACATTAAAACTCATCTTTCCTCCAAAGTGCTGTCAACGCATTCTACTACAACGTACTTGTTGGGCAATTTATTTTTCTGTCCATTTGTGACGACTAACGTGGCCAAACCAGACTGGCTTATTATGCATTTTGTTTGTGACATCATCAGTATAGATCTATCAATTTTCTTGCCTAGAGCTCACTAGCACGAAAACAAATACCCGTGATTTTCCTATCTACTAAAGATTTAAATATTTCATAAATTGATATCCAATTCTCTTATTAAATATACTGGGAAAGCTTCTCACTTCTAGGACATATTTTGATCTTCTGAGCTGGCGATAACACTGAATAAATATATTATTAATAACTAAATTATCAGTTAAAATAGTTATTATATACGATTATTACTATATTACTCGTAAGAAAACGTATTGAACCAGGCTAGTATTTATAATCGACCTTGACTTAGTAACTACTTTCGTCTTCAATGTCGTAAACTTGATTTGCCCCTGTTTCGTTCGGAAACTAATCTTGGGTTGCGACGGCCCATCAAAAGCATAACTTTTTTATGTTTTTCACATCCTATGAAATATACATTCAAAAAGATGGATTGAATTATTCTACATATTTAAATATAAACGATATTATTTTGTAAATACTTAAACTACTTTTTCATTTTGAAGGTAGAGATATTTTTTCCCTTTGCCGTCATGCTGCTAAATCTTCATCTCCGGTAAAACGATGAACCATGTCTCGGAAATTTCATAAGCCACAAAATATGTGACATAAAAAATAAGCTTTGCATTATCTTTCACGAGACCAAAAAGGAAAAAGCGTCGACGCTCACGAACTGGAAGTTTCTTCCCTTTGGCCGTGCGAGCTGCCGCGGCCACTAGTTTGCAAATTCCGCAATATGCAACGAAAAGCTCATTCCGCGAAGATATTGCTCGCTTCAACTTCAAAACCTCCATTATGGAAGTTTTCGCCCGAGGTAGGAACTAGGTTGCTTTGCGGTGCCACGATAAGGCTTCATTTCGCGTTGCAGCGACGTACTCATGGCACATTTCGTGTCTGTACGCATAATAAGCCAGTCTGGAAACGACGAGGGACAATCTTGATGACGCTAAAACTTCTGTTGTAGTTTCATCGCAGAGTCGCTTCTCAGGGTTGACGTATACCACGCTACTCGCGAAACTACTGTTGTAGAAATGGGGACTTGGCCTTTAGGGGAGTTCGACTGAAAGTTTGTCGACATGCTGATGTCTACGTTCGATATTTGTGTTGCTGGGAACGTTTGATATTTATGTTACAGTATGTCGATGTCGAAGTGCACAGCGGCTGAGGTGGTTCAGAGCGTCAACTGCTGTCTCTGCAGTGTCTCTGCCCGACTCTCTGATAGGGTCGATCGTTAATACTATGGATGTGTATGTGGTTCGGAAAATGCCGTTGATATAAAAGTGTAGCTACAAATACAACGTTACCTTTCACCCTGGATGTAGATACATTTGTTAAAGTAGCCTGTAAATAGCGTCGATCCTTTTTTTAATAAAATGTTACATAATGCCGTCTCTTCTTCTTTATACTTTCGTCACACATGCATAATATGTAAACTAGAAGAGGAGAAGAGGGAAGTGTTCACTACCTAGTAAAGTGTTGCTGTCAAAACCTACGAAAGTTCTGATCAACATCATTACTGACGCTTCTGAGAGCTCATGGAGTAAGAAAGGGTAAATAATTGGATTTAGGGACTGAGAGCTTTCTAGAGCGGTAGGTCGCAATTCGATTAAGGGCGAAGGCGTATTTTTGACATCAAATTGAGAACTGGGACGGACATTGTCAATGTCTGGGTAGTAATGAAAACAAGCTGCTTTTATTGGTACTTTTCCGAGACATCTCCATTCAATACCTAGCTAATGCCGGAGTAGTACCTAAAACAACGGGACACGGAACTTGGGCGATCTTCCACATTTCAGATTACACAATTTTGATTCTACATTTCAGATTACACTTTTTTCGATTCCACATTTCAGATGACACAATTTTGATTCCACATTTCAGATGACACAATTTTGATTCCACATTTCAGATTCCACAGTTTTGATTCCACATTTCAGACGACACAATTTTCTAGTAGTATGTCGGTGCCCGCGAGTCGCCTGTCGCGTCGCCGCGCGAGTGGAGCGAGTGTCGCTGAGGGTGCGCGTTGGCTCTGTTCGCAGCCGCAGAAGACGGTGACGGACACGCTGTACCGCAACAAGGAGAGCCTGCAGGCGGCCTTCAGGGTCATCGACAAGGACCACTCGGGTGAGTCGCTCCCACTCACCCCCTCACCCCTCCCATTTATCAAAGTCTTCGTAAAGAGGAGGCGCACGGAGGTGCGAGAGCAGTACTCTTGAAAACTTTCAGGAGAGTGAGAGGGGGGATAGGTGTGTATGTATATGTATGTGGGAAGCTGCCATTCTCGTTTGTGAATGTACCGGAGAAAGAATGTTTTGCCATTGTCTTTCTCTTTCCTTGGCAGATGGTTACTGCCTTCTATTGCATGAAGAATGGTAGTATGATCATGACGATAGGTGAGTTGTTATGGGTGGCTGGGTGGCCCCGTTGGGGGCGTGGTAGTGTGAGAAGCGAATTTAGCCACTACCACTCAGTGGATCCTCCCGTGCTCACTCTGCACTCGAATTCGAAGGATGATGTAGTGTACGATTTTCGAAGTCACCCGAAAGACATTACAGAAGTCGAACAAACACTACGCCAAATTAGTTTTCGATAACAGCGTTGATTTTGCGGGCGTTTTGCGACCCTGCGTGGCCACCTCCTTTAAATTTTAAAATTTTGATTTGCATTCTTAAGTTGTGGCGAATATTGTACCGTTCTCCCTTTATTGCATTTTCATAAAAACCTTGGCTCTCTCCGAGTCTATTTTCGTACGCTGCGCAAGATATAGCTTCACTCCACAAATCATTGATCATTTCGTGAACATAAATGTTTTTAATCTGATTTGTTGATTGATTGTATTCAGTCGGTTTGTACTAGTTGCAATTGATGTAAATTGACAAAATAAATGAGACTCGTTTTTTAATAACTGTTTAAATTAAATTAATTTAAAAAGGTAAACTTCAGCAATATTTCTAATAACCAAGATGTACATTCCTATTGAAAAAATTACACACACTATCAACCCTGCTTTTAACGATTCTTGAAACTCTTTATTTCGTTTACTCTGAACCTTGGTGGAACAAAATTTGAAAATCAGATCCGTTAGGAATTGGAACTGAAAACATGATACCAAGGAACGAGTAGTGAAAATTAATTATTTAGATACGTATTAAAATAGTAATACATTTTAACTTAGTTATTAGACGATTATGACGATAACACTATGTACTAAATCATATGGGAGGTTTATTCCATAAGTCATGACAACCACATCATATCTTTCAAAATAACAAAAATGAGGTGAGTATTTCAGTAAAGGCGTTGACAACCCACGAAAAAGTTAGGGTGCTAGACACTGTGCTCCAAAAAAGATGCACGTAAAGTAAAACAGCTGTCAAATGTGGATATTGCAGCACCTCATGACACAGAAATTCTCGTCGATGTCATGCGAAGCCTTGTGGTAGTGTTGCACGTCATTTGGAGACCTTCGCGTGGCACCTGCCTCTCACGCAGCAGGCGAAAGGTGGTGCACTCTAACGATATGCACACAACTCTTCCATTTCAGTCTAATGAACACATGGTTTCTAAATATATTTCATTTTCTCTTACTTCTTATTATTACACTTCAATTTCTCATATGAGTTGGCTTCCGTACTAGAAAGCAATTTGGTATTAGCATTTGTAAGAAACTTGTAATAACTTTCAATCCCATTTGGATAATTTCTGCCCCTCTGCAAAGAATTCTTGCCTTGGTGTTGGTCGATACAATAGGGAATGGCCCTTACATTGTTCGAAGAGTTATTTCTTTAAACATGCACTTAGCTCCTTATTAACCAACCGTATAAACACCGAATTGAGAGCACATGCAAGATTGAAATGTAAACCCTTAGAGCGAAAAAAAATTAGTGGCCTATGAATTAGGAAATTTCGAAATAGTTTCGAAATTCCGTTTTTAGTTTCATTTCGAATTTGCAAGTTATTGAATCACGAAATGTTGTCAATCTTTTCGTGAAGCCGGCCGAAAGGCGAGTAGCGGCCGCGTGGCTCGTGACTGGCAGTGGCTGCCGCCGCGTGATGTGGAAGTCACGCGTGCGGGCGGCGCTCGCGTGACGGGCGGCGGGCGCAACTTATTCGCTCGCGTTAGTTCCCGCGCCCTCCACCGCGCCCTGTTTCCCCTCAGGGCAGGAGCCCCCCCCCCCCTCATCACCCAAAGAAACAGTTGCCTCACCTGCTCTACCTCTTTCTATCTTCTTATCTTCGATTTCATAAAATCGATAACAGTCGTCATAGAGCTGTTGGCAATGACAACTCCTATAATTATTTCATTTTGAATGCCAACGACAACCCACCGCAAAACCAACGTCAGTCAGGATGTCCTCGCTCAGAAATAAGAGATATGGTGAGCTAATTTGCAGTTTCTCGTACCTTCCAGCCTCTGTAGTGCGTGCATCATTATATATTATATTATTATGTTATATTATACTAATATTACTATTATATTATATTATATTATAATAATAAAAGCTAACACTCGTCTGTAAGGTGACAATCTCACTGATTTGGTGAAATAAAAAAATTATAAAAAAACAATGCAGACGAAAGTACGAAAGGTAGTTGCTTGAAGACGTCGTCGTTTTATAGTTTTCATCGTATCCCATATCTACACCCAAATATGAGTTCTGACCACAAATACTAGATGCTAGATTTAATTTAAATAGCAAACCATGGAAACATTTAGAGTCAGGAGATTGTATTCGTAGTGTCAATTGAAACTTCACATATCTGTTTGAATAGGTCAATGAAATGGCCGCATAGTACTTTCATATTGACTGTGAAAACTAGCGTACAATATTTTTCCCTTAAAGGGCAAGGTAATAAAACCTGTATAAAATACGCCTATAGAAGCATTGGTTGCAACTGTCAAAACTAGACACATATGGGGCTAAATCATAAGTACCCTTGACGACAATTAATGTTTTTTGTTGAGGTTATGAGTACCACAGCATTTAAGCTTGAAGAAACCCATATCAAAAACTTAAAGAGAGATTATTTTAAAAAATAGGTGAATTTAAATGTTTTGTAACAAATATATTTAAAAGTTTTTCACATTTTATCATTTGAATATCATAATAAGGATTTATATAACACTTTTTATTTCTTAGTATAAAAAAATAGAAAATAAGGATTGGCCACAATGCTTCTTTGTTCTTGAAAACATTATTTCTAAATTAGAAATGATTGCTTGAAGCTGTCGGTATGAAAGTTTGAAATTCTCTCTCTTACATTATTTAAAATATATAAGCTACAATTATATATAATGTAATAGTTCTAAGAATTGCTTACAATTTGATTTTCTCTTCGGGTAAAATGTTATATTTGATTAGAGAATTCTAACATAAGATTTATAGCCGTGTGTTTGAAATGTGCAGTTGTTGCCTTAAAAATACTAGATTTGCTTATTATCAATATGTTATCATTAGCAACATGCAGAGTTACAAGAGTTTTCACCAAAATTGTTCTGAAATAATTATGCCGTCATACGTGGAGAGCGAGTGGAAAATATGTTCCGTTTTCCCTCTTTTGTATTTCAAATATAATTATTGATAATTTCATGTAGTACACTTTAAAAAATCTACAAAACAATTATAAAAACAAATAGAAATTCATGTAACGTATTCTATCAACGTGCAATTAAAAGTATAATTAAAATATATATCGAGAGCAATAATATGCGAGAAAGCGATATCAATAACCACCAATTAGTCTTCAAATTCATTATAATCCCTTACATAATATGTTACACAAAATTAATTACTTTAATATTTACATCAATATATAAATTTATTAAGAGAGATTATAATGATTATGGGCGGAGATAATTATTTATTGGAAGGGTTAAGATAATCTCATGCACGTTTTGAGTAAACGGCATATCACACTAAATACCCTGTATTAAAACTTTGGAAATTGGTGACATAAAATGAAACATGTAACCGCTAGCTTAATAATTTGTGCAATTAATTTCGTAATAGCAGATTATTTAATTTTGTGTAGCTGATTTCTAAAATTAGCGCACAAACTTCTCTTGCGTTTTCGGTTTATTTTTAGTCTCCATCTCTCGGCATCACGCACAGGCAACTTGCATGACTACGGCAGCGCCTCCTGCAATGCGGTGAAAGCAGAACAAAACACTCGCACCCGCCGCGTACAGCGCTCCAACCTCCTGTGATTAAGATCTGGGAAACTTTTTGTACAAACGTTATTTGGGGTACTTGTTTGTTATATTTTCTGCATTGCATTTCCCTCTTAATGTTACTCCAGGGTTTATAAATGTAAACTGTAAGGTTGAAGGAAATTTTGTTGACAGTTCTTTATGAAGAAGTGGTTGATGTTTTCTTCTTTCTTTTGCATACAGCGTAAGTGGACAGAAAGACTTTAATTTTACTGTATGTAGATTGTATGGCGTGCAGTTTTCTGTCAGAAATAATTTTGTTATATTACAACAGTTATTCTCAAGCATATTAAGCACTCAAGCACATTGTTATTCACTTTTTCTTTTACTCGCTTTTTATTAATCAGTTTTTCTTTTTCACTTTCTCGTCTTGGTATAATTTGGTCTTATTTCCACAAGCAGTATAATGCATTGCGTGTGTTGTACATTTTTCATTCCATTCTGATCTACATTGCAAAATGACTCCTCCGAAAACCATGCTTCTGGAAATTTCTGCTTCTCTTTTCGCTACTTTATCATTTTCTTGTTTTTGTTCTTCTTCTTGTTCGTGCCATTTAATATGACCTAGGAACTGAGCGCCAATTTTAGTTATTCCTTCTCCGGTTTGTACCTTTCTTTGTTTTCTTTTTAGTATTCTACCCATTCACTACAATTCTTCTTTCTTCCTTCGGGACTCTTCTCTCTTCTACCGTGGAATCCTTCCACTTACAGCGCCTTCTTTTTACCCTTCATTCAATGAACAATATCAGTGGGAGCAAAACTGTCAGAGGTAGTTGAATAAATATGTTGCAGATTGTCTTTCGTGAACATTAGAATAATAAGAATACATTATTAACTTTGTTAAAACCTTTGTTAAAAAAGTTAAGTAGATACATAGAGAGCACATGTACCTATTTTTACAACTGAATCCAATTTTGTATGAATATTCGAGAAATATTTATTTTCACATGCACACGTATTCACAAATTTACATATGAACAATAAATTGTTTGATTGTTATTCCTTAGAAAATGAATCATTATTTGGCCAAGTTCTCTTAAACTCACAAAATAACAGCAAGACATTTTGAAGTTTATTTAACATTTTTAAATTAGGGTAATAATCTTATTTCAAAACTTATTTGAGCTTTTAACGTCCTTCAATTTTTTTTATTTTGTGTTCTATTACGTCCTTACTAGTAAAGATAAGGTGTGGTAGAGCTGCAGAAGAACGTGGCGACTTATCGTCAGAAAAAAAATAGTATTTTACCGAAAAAGTGGATAATTATTTCTGTATAGTAAATTACTGAGGAAGTGGCTCAGGTCGTAGCGCGCTGACTTCGCATTCGGGAGGCCCGTGTTCAATCCTCGGCTTTCGTTACCGGGGTTTTAATAGTTTCCCTCGGTCGTCCAGGCGAAAGCTGGGAAGGTCCTACTGAAAGGCCACGACCGCAAAACCGGCGTCGCTAGCTAAATTCGTCAACATTGTAACGTCACAAAGGTTAAGCGAATTCGAGATATCGCGGGCACCTGCAGGTGGGTCCTGGCCGACTAGGAACCCCGAGATCTAACGGTGCCGAGGCCAATTTCCATTTGGGAGATATAATGGCTAAATTATATATATATATATTACTTCCCCTTACACGTTCTGTACCCAGAATCCAGGATTTGTGCGTCATTGTTACTAAAAGAATGGTATACGGTAAACAGTCAATATGTTGGTCTCTGTGTGTCTGTCTTCGGTGAACGCTAGCACCTTAACTGGTTCAGGCGATTTTTTTCAAAATTGATGTTCCCTGAACGATCTACAGGAACTAGAAGCCCTGCGAGATTAAAACAAATATTTTGATTTTTTGAGGCTCTTTAAATAAAGCCTGGACATTTTAAATATTTCTCAAAAATGTTTTTTTTAATTCTTTTACTTAATTTTCAAACTTTTCAACAGTTTATAATATTTTCGTCGTCTCCCTACACCTACACTATTAAAAACATAGTTTTCTTAAAACTGTTCTTTAAAGACAGATCTTCAAATAAAGTAAACTCATATTTTCGAAAAATTTTAAATGTTTTCGTACAAAAATATAGTCATCCCAAAAAATTATTTTCTCAAAAATCCCTGTAAGTTGTGGCGTTAATTTTTTTATGAATACTACAAAGCACGCTTATAAAAATGGAGTGGGTCCTATTTTTGGAAAACTTTCTATATTTTTAAAAATTGGGAAAATTAACATTGCAAAATAACAATATTTGTAATAAATATTTTCTCTCAATAAAATGTGTTCTAAAATTTAGATCCGTTAATAAGGTCACCCATTTTTTTAAGAATACGAGTATTTTTATGTTCATTTGTGCTGGAAATGAAGACAGTTAAAATTTCTCGAAAACTGCTCTGTTTTTTCTTAAATTAAGTGTGTCTATATAAAAATGACGCAGGTACAATGTTTGGTAAATTCCGAATTTTCGAAAATTGCAAAAATTATAAATATGGCAAGAAAGTATCTGCAATTGTGGCAGCTCTAGTTTCGAGAAAGCGTCATTAAACCACACAGGTGTTCTAAGATCGTAGATTTGTCAAAGTTAAATTTGGCTCTAACAGTGTTCCCCTGGCCAATAAATCCCCTTGTGGCAGAGAGGAATTTGTTCCATTGCAGAGCTTTCTCCGCAGGTTTCTCCCGCTTCCCAGTTCTTCTGAGGAAACTCCTCGTTCTTTTGCGCGGGGCCGTAGCGTATAAGGTCGTCTGAGATACTGCGATAGAGAAAATTGGTCAAATGGAATTACCACAAGAATGTCGTGTTCTGCGGAGAGATTATTTTTAAAGGTCACTGATAAAACCTTGTAGTGCCTATTCTGAATCAAAAAGAGTTCTGATCGAATAAATGAGGTGAGGTATAGGAATTTTTGAGTGATTTATATCACAAGCGTTGGTTATTTTGATAATACAAAGTTCTTGTTAACTTGCAGATATTTTTGATACCCAGTAAATTTATAAACAAGCTCTGGCGAAAGTAATATTTCACAAGTATCTGGGAATGTAATGAAATTGTGATAGACAAAATAATTTATCTTTTATAATTTACTAATAATGTTACTCAATAACGTCTTTTCGGAACTTCGCTATGTATGTCTGGGTGGCAGGATGTATTCTAATATTTGCTTAGTTATAATTATATATAATATGAAATTGCTTTGAAAGTTATTTGTTCGATGATTTTTTAAAGAATTAACAGTCGCCTACCAATGGAGGTTAACGATAGCCCACCAAGTAGTTTTTTCCTATTCTTTTGTTTCGGTAAGGAATTGCAGTTTTGTCGTTTAGGACATTCATTATAAGAACCTTTCTTAAGTCTTAGTAACAATGTCGTCTTTCAACGCTTATGGGATGTTTAGAAATAAATCTTGAAATCGTTGCCATGCGCAATTGCTTGACGAAAACTTATTCAGGGGCTAAAAACAGACCGCGCTGTCCGGACTAATATGGAACGTCTGGTCACCTTAGACTAAGTGGATCATGCTAACGTGTTTTACTTCTACAATTTCACTCACAAACTCACTTTCAATTAGTTGGAAATACTTTCATTTAAAATGAGGAAATCTACAATGGCAAAATAAGTCTTGTGATATCGCCCGTCCATCACACTCGCAACCTGCTTCGCAATGATTTCCCCATTGATGACCCCGCCATGGTCATCATTTTTTCGTTTTAATTGATGACTGTAATATTATTTTTCCATTAGGTCGATAAGTAGAAATTAACTGTCACGTTTGACTTTTGCAAACCAAGATTACAGCACTTGTTTGTAATTAACAATGCCCGTAATTTTTTATATCGTCGATGTGTCTTTTAATACTTAGCTTATTACCAAATTCTTATAAGAAAAATCATATAAACAAGAAATACCTTTTCATCCACCATCTCTAGCTACCTCGGTCTGTATTATTATTAACAGACTGTGAACTGTTAAATCTTTAACGTACCCCAGCCTTTAAGAGTGCATTTCGTTTCTATATTAACTTACGGTAAGTCGATATTTTAATAATAAAATATTAGGAAAAGACGATAGACAGTAATTCGAGAATTTCTTATCGGATATCGGCCGTTAGAATGGCTTTTCAATCTACTATTTGATTGCGTTAAGTCGATAGAACAGTCGAGTATTACGAAACGTTGATAAAGATCACGGTTGTTTTTTTGTTTTGTTTTTTTGTTTGAAATTTGTTGCGTCTTTGATAACGCATCGCGTCCCTGAACCCTTGTTGGGCGTTGAGCGCTGGTGTGGAGAAATCCTCCGTTATTATTTTTGTCAAGTCTCGTCACGTCGCAGCTAGTCGGGGCCATTTATTGTTTCGGCCAGACGCCGTTAGATGTCGGGGTTCCTAAACAGTCACCCAGCCAGGAACGTGCAAAGTCACGAATTCGTTTAACCTCCGTGACTTGAAGGGGCGGAGTAAACGAATTCGACTAACGAAGCCGGCTTCGGATACTACCTAGTTTGCGTTCTTGGATTCTCTGTATGAGAATCTGCACGAAAACTGAGCCGTGTAAAAAGGGCAGTTTGGTTTGTCGACAATCATAGTTATTTTCTCATTAGGCTGATGAATGGAAAATGACTGCAGTCCAAGTCTGTAAACCTGGGGTAAAGCCGAGGTTTTTCTTGGAGTGCGAGTTCTCACCGGCTATCTTTACCCACCTCGTATTTCGATTGTTCTTAGCAGACGGCGGGCTGTTAAATCCTAAACGGGCCCTGTGTGCTAAGAGTGGCTTTTCGTTCCTCATTTTGGTTGCTTTAAGTCGATGTACTAACAATACAAAATTAAGAATCGTAGATCAGTAGGGTATTACGAAAAGAGTCTAGAAGAGCACTGCATTGGGGAAAATTCTTGGACCCAGGCCGTTAAGTGTGTGCTTTCCTTCGTATGCACGAGCGTCTGTGTGTGTTGCCAGGGTACATCACGGCGGAGGAGTTCGAGGAGGCGCTAACGCTGCTGGGCGAACAGCTGCCGGGCGCCGCCGCCGACCTCTGCCGCTCGCTCGACATGAACAAGGACGGCGCCGTCGACCTCAACGAGTTCCTCGAGGCCTTCCGCCTGGTGCAGCTGGCGGCCGCCGGCGGCGCCACCGACGCCGACGCCCTCGACGCCGACGACCTGGAGGACGACGCCGCCGACTCGCCGGACGAATGAGACGCCGCCCCGCCCCCTCGCGGCCGGGTCGCGCGGCTGTGGCGCCGCCTGCGTCGCCGCTGGACGCGGGGGTAGCTTCGAAATCCACCTCTTGGGCAGTGTCCTGCCAGAGGCTCGTGGTCACGTGGTCCTTCACGATGCTCTGAGGTCAATGAATCATCATTGGGTTCCATGCTACGCATTGTGCGTGTCGGTTCGTCGGCGCTGGACTCAGGGGTAATTTTCCCGTCTCGAGAACATCTCGTCCACGTCGTGAGTAGCCTCCCGTCAGAGGCTTTGTTTACGAGACAGTGCCTGAGGGTGAGTACACATGGTTCGCCTCATCATTCGATTAGGTGCTCCTGAATTTTATGTCTCAGTCTATTGTGTCGTCGGCGCTGGACTCAGGGGTAGCTTTGAAATTCACGTCCTGGTTAGTGTCCTACCAGAGGCTTCATTTTCGATACAAACCTCGGGCATCAATGCATGAGGTTCGCATCATCTTTGGATTGCCTACGCCTGTGCCATACGTGTCGGTCTGTGGTTTCGTTGCCGCTTAACGTGTTGGCAACTTTAATAACCCATGTCTCGAGCGATCTCCCGTCCGAGACTTGGCTTGGACAACACCCGGGATTAATATTCTCGATTCCTTCATTATCTGATAGCTGGCACCCAGTTCCAACTCACAGGAACCACGTAACTGTCTCTGATTTCGTCATCATTTGGCTGTTGAGTTGCTTTAATTTATCCACCTCAAGAGCATTTTCCTGTTGATAGCAAACTGCACACAACATTTGGAGGTTGGGACAAATAATTGGTTTTCTTATCAACCCCGCACGGCAACGCCTCACCATGTAGAGATTCCACTTATTTGACAATTATTTCTTAACAATTCTACTCGTACACAGGAGAAAAGACGCTGTATTGTAAACAATGCTACATAACAGAGACAGAGAGGTTTAGTGAAGAAATGGTTTTATAACGCTTCTTTTGACATTATCGATGGCTGGTTTGAAATTCACACTAAAACGAGCATCTCGATTTTGTGTAGTTCTCTAATTTATTTCTGAATCTTGATACGTTCTTCTTGTGCGACGTCTCAGCAGATAAGTTGATTTTTCTCTTCCAATGTTTTTTTTGTTAGAGTGGACTGTTATAAAGATATAACGAACTGGTTTTTGGAAGAGATTACTGCCTTGTGTCTATTTATACTTTTTGTAGATTTATGTAAATGAGTATATTGGTGTATTTGGCTAATTACAAATAATTTGGTGAACAAAGAAGTTGTAGACTTGTCAACTGTGGACGTTTCCTATCGGAAGTAAGAAACAAGATATGATAACTATGTCCTCTTCACATATGTGCTTCAGTGTGGTGAGTTTATTTTGACAGCGCATCTCGTCTGTTGTGGTTTAATTATGTGGTCTTGTTTCTCTCTCCGTATTTTCTCTTTTCCATTGAAAAACTTGAAACAACCTATGGAAGAGAATAATATGGGAAAATAATGTCATAAGTTGTGGAAGACCTTTATCATATTTTTTGGTCTGCAATTGGTTGTAAAGGTTCTAATATTTTGAATTTGAAATGGTAGTTACCAAAAAGACAAGGGATTCTTACTGTTGGAATAAACTGTTATTTCTTCCGTCGTCTACCGAAAGTAAAGTTTTCTTCCTTTGCCTGTCACCGCTCGTTACACATGTGTATGTGTTAAGACGTGTGAAAAAATCCATTTGATCCCGACAGCTCAGGTAGCTGAAAGAGCATCATGACACATCATTTAATAGGATAATTTAATTCCAAGAAACAAGACTTTTCGAATGTTTTCTTTTTGTATATTTCAACACCTATTTAATTTTGAAAAGTTCATTGGATCAATTGTAAAGGTATATATAATGAGCTGGAAAACAAATTTGCTTTTCTCTTCTTCGCGAATTTTTAAAAAATGTTGTATTCATCCACAACTACATGTGTGTGCGTGTCATGTATGTGCGTATATCCTGTATGGGGGGGAACGGTGCCTGTATATCGGTGTGTTTGGTATGTATGTGTGATGGATGTGTCTTTTTGAAGTTATTAAGGGACTTCACTTTCTGCTAAAAGGGGAAATATATTCTCGTGTTCATCGAGATATTTCTTTAATTGAAAATTTGTAAGAGAGGAAACATTTTGCATTTATTTTCTCGAAACACACACTTTCTAAACAAATTTACAATTCTCCCGCTTTTCATATGTCTTGTATAATGGAATTTTTATGATAATATCGGTAAGCTGTAATTTCATTACAACAGAAAATGCTGCCTCACATGTTTTTTTCAATAAATAGAATTGTAAATGAGAAAAACATGTCACCAGAGAGACATCAGCTTTTTCTTGTGCAAGATTGTCATTATTGGAATTACCATGCTACTTATACGTGATGTGAGGAAAAACTCAGCACTGAGTATTTGTATCAAAAGTAATTTCATCGTAAAACAAATTCTGTATTAGTCAAAACACTCTTTTAAAGAAGAAGATTAAGAAGAAGAATATTGAATAATAGTATTTTCTCGAAAAATTGTTTTGACAAAACTACTTTGTATGTATCCGCTATTATGAAACATGAACATTACTGAACCCGATTACGATCATTAATTTTTGATAGTGAACGATGCGTGTTTCTTGTTAATGAATTCTTGAGACGTGTCGCTTAAACATCCTGCAGCATTTTCCTTGTGTGATACTTCGGAAAGTAATAGCTATTACGCATTTGCCCTAACAATGCGAGTGATGTCTGATGACCAGACAAATGTTATGAGTTTCCATGAAATTATTAACATTTTCAAACGAACACAATCAACTAATAGTCGTAAAGTTTTCGTGAAAGTGTATCTGAAAAGAAATCCTGAAATGTATCATTTTTCTCTAAATCAATATTTACAATTCAACATATACTCAACTCACCACAAATGTATCTCCTCTTTGCACCTGTGTTTATCAACACAGACCCGTGTGCACTCTATGTAACCGTTCCGATCCTCAGATCAAGAGACTTTACATTTCTCACCATTGACTGTGCTTTCTCCTCTTCTCTAAATCGGTATGTAGCTTGTAAATCCTGTACCTTTTAGACATTTGGTTGTATTGTTCACTGAGCGTTTGGATACTTCCTTGCTAATTCAAACAACAAAAAATTGGAGAAAAGGCTGACTAAAATGATTGGTTATGGTAAGGTGTGCACAGATGTATGTGTGTTGGTTTCGTGGGTCCAATATTTTTCAATTTTGGTGATGTACATAAGAATCTGTAATTGACCAGAGCCAAAATCGTGAAACTATTTTTTTCTAAATTTTGTCATTCACCATTTAATTTATTAATCTTCATATTGTCGAACGCTACTCAGTCATATAATTATTAAAGCATATCATATATTTTTATTGATCATTAGATGTACTTATTTAAATTGGGATAAATATAGTTTTTTGTAGTTACTGTAACATTAAGGATTTATTAAATAATTTTGTAGCTTTGAAATCAATCAAGTTATGTTAAAATTCTTCCAAATTAAGTATTTACCGAGTTAAAAATATTGAACTAATGCACTAGAATGTTGTTTTTTTTGTACTTGCCACACATATTGGTAAAGTCTTGAAAGTGTCTAAATATCCGTTTTTCGAAATTAAAGATTTAGTTGTAAAACAAATATTTTAGGAGTTCTACGCGTTTGTATTAATTTTTATGACTAAATTTTGAATGTAGAGTCACAATGGTGTAGTATCACAGTCATGAACTAGAACAACGAAGAATGACCAGTCAGTTTTCACCTGACTGTACGCTCCGAATCTTCGTTGTTTCGAATTATAATATTCTTACACTTTCCAAAATGTTTTTAAAATAAATTCTTAGTAAGTGTAATACAAGAAATATAAGTAGATTCATTCTAGTGTTTGTCAAATTTTACCTATATTATGAAAAACTAAAAATTATTAACTAATTCTGTGTGAGTAAGAAATCGTTAAAATATGTACTTCCGAATAATTCAAAGCAGTTGTAGATATTTAAAAAAATCTCATAAAATGCTCATAAGATACCCCTTTCCTTGGGGTAGACCAATAGCATCCTTGTTTCCTCATTCTCTTCCATTTACGAGTGTTCATCCTTTCCTTGCCTTCCTTCTGTGCTTCGTGGCAATTGAGCTGCATCGTAACGTCAGCCTCTCACAATTCTTTCCGCCATTTTGTGTCCTTAGGCTGCTTTATGGCACCGTTGGGGGGGGGGGAAGTCGCCATGAAATAAAGACCCTCGAGTCAGTAATAAAAATGTGTGCAGTCGCCAGTTTCGAAAGAATTCGGCGGTTCCTTCTCTTGAACGACCCCCATCCCCTTCGCGGGCGGACGGTAAAACAGCTGAAAGGCGAAGTTAACGATGACAAAATGGCGACTTGAGGGTTGTGACCTATGATTACATGGCGAAAGACCCGTTCCTTAGCGTTGTTTTATGGTCGTTTAGATTCGTTTTATCTGATGTTTTTCTTCGTGTTGTGATAAGACTTCTATTCCGTGTGATAAGTACCTTTTAAGTATTAATACATATCGTCGATGAGAAAATATTGGAGTTTGTTCAGGTAGAAAATTAATTATGTGATACTGCTCCGTTCTTGATGGCAGAAAAATAGCAAAGGTTCTTGAAGTGATGAGTCATTGAGATACGAAAGAGAACATTTATTTGCGTCACCGAAGGCTGCATAATGTTGATGCAGAATTGTTAACTCACATAGCCAGAATGTAATTTACTGGGCTTGTGAAGGATGTAACAAACTACACGCTCTAGTCAATTTCTCTGAGATGGTATGAGACTAGTGACTTAATACCCTAAAATAGTAAAAGAGAAGGTAATGCAGTATTGCTGAGTCAGGATTGTGATATGATATTGAATAAGAAAGAATTATTGTCGACAGTTCCAGAATTGAATAAATATAATAGAACATAGAATGTAGCATTGTGGCATTGTGCGATGTGTCTCTATTCACAGAAAGCTGCTGACGGAACTTTGTTCATGGTTACACTTTACACAATCTTATTCCAGTAAGGAAACTTAGAATATTCTCTTAAATAATGAAATAAAGTTGTGCATCACATATAACGAGATATTTCAAACGAAAATAATATGGAAAATTCCTGTAAAATTGTATTAGCGTCTAAAAGGCTTGTATAGGTTTATAAATAACCTTGTATGATTTTACATGCAATTCATGGCATATAATATCCAAAGCATTTAACTATGTGTAACTCTCTAATATATAATACATTGTCCTGCACTACTTATTTCTCACTGTACACCAATTATAATATAGTCCCCATTTTGTGACAAGAAGTATAATGTCAAGAAAATCATGTGAATGTGGAATATTTTGATATAAATGTCACGTAACTCTAAACGAGATCCTGAAAATATGTAAAGATTGAGAATTCTGTTTTAAGTATTATTATTTCGAGTTTAAAAAAGTCTTGGGTATATCATCTACAAATTAACAGGACTTGGATAATTAGTCAAATGACTAGCTACCTTTGGTACTACGAATTAGTGTTTTTCAAAATATTTTCCATGTTCACAACGCAGCAAATTTTATACTCTGATCAACAGGTTTCATTCTGTGATAAGTCACTGTTTTCAAATTTATTACTCACGATTTGTCAAGCTCCGAATCCCCGTGCGAGCATGCACCAATCCACATGCAGCGTCGTTGGGATATCGTGGGAGCTGTCTCTTTTCTTTTTAAAAGGAAACATGCTCGCTCAAGCTTCTTTGCTCCTTTCCGCGCGTAAGAATTGCGCTCATCAAGGTATGATGACGCTACCCAAAGTAACATGTTTCAATTTATAATCGATATTAAAGTAAGCTTCTTTAAGGAGCAGTGCTGACGTTGAGAGAGAGAGAGAGAGAGAGAGAGAGAGAGAGAAAGGAAGTGGAGGGACAAAATCGAAATAAAAAAATTAAAGAATGGAATTTACACAGTGCCAAGCATTTACACTTACGTTATTTTCCACCTCTTACAACTTTTTTCCGCTTTGGCCGGTGGTTTCTAAATGACGATAGGGGGACATTGTTCCAAAGTTCGCTCTCTGTGAATGGGGGGACAGGAAAAAAGTCACTGCTGTGTGTTGGCATTTCTGAATAGGTCTTCGAGGAAGAATGAATGAAGCTCTACTGTACATCAGGCAGACATGTCATTTCAGGCCTATTAAAGTATATCAATAAGGCACCAAATGCGCTTTAGCGTTCAATCAGGTGAAAATATTTACAAAAATACGTATTTGAAACATAATGCTTATTAATAGTCACTTATGCAACAAGAGATTAAAATATTTAATCTCGTGTATCCAAAATTTTATTTGTTCACTTATTTTTCGTAATTTTAGGAATACGACTGGTCACTTCAATAATCATCGACTTGGATTTCTGAAAGGTTGTAATACATAATAAATGTGAGATACAAGTGATGAATTTCAAATTCTTGCTTAAATTTCATAAGTTTCTAATATTAAAACTATAGTCAGAATTGAAAAAATAATTACGATGTCAAGATGTTAAACTCCCTAAGGATAAAGTTAGTTTGACTTCCTTGAGTGTTAAGGTACTTTTCTGTAGCTAAAGATTATTTTTAGCGTCGTGAAACTACTGATAAATAACGGTCGTGTATAAAACATAAACCTATTTATTACGTAAAATTCATAGCGAGAATTAATAAACACATTTCAGAATAACATGAAAGTTAAATAATACACTTAATATTGTTTGTATAGTAAGTACCTCAAAATAATGCTCTATACGTTTCATGGTAATAAATATTCCTACCAACTAAGCTTGAATGTTAATCAGATTTCACAAGCACTTAGAAAGAAGGTATATTAAAAATTAATCTGCTTAAGTTAATACGAAATCTAATCATGGTTTTCAATACATTATCTTAGGTAATAGCCCGAGTACTTAGGAAATTGTCGATAAATCTCTGCCTCGCGGAGTGACGAGGGGATAAATCCGACAATTTTCAGAGCACGAGTGATTTTTAATAGGACTATTCCACAAAATAAATTATGTCCAACAAAGTTCCAAAATGCGCCAAATATTGAAAATAACTGAAAGTTATGTTAAAACCAAAGTTGTTATATTATGGTATTTATTGGGCATATACATAGAAATCGATGTATATCGTCTCGTAAGACAAGAGTCGCCGATTATCATTGGCCAGAAGCTGTAAGAAAAATCGGATAAAAAAAGTGATCTTTCTTTTTTAGATACACCTATCTAATTTTGGGCATTTTGTATGAATAGTTAAACACTATTTTTTTTAATTTAATGAGCGGAATAGTGATTCTAAACCTTGTAACTCACATTCTAGGATCGTTTCTAAACACGCTCAAATTCATTTGGAGTCGAATTGGTGTATGTTTGCCGTGTCATGGCTACGTTGATATCCAGTTGAGGTTCTCTCTCTGGGGCGAAGACGTGTCCAGACGCCCTGAAGCAGGTCTCGGAGGATTCTCCGAGTCGTGTTTCCTCCATGACCTCCCGCTGCCTTCCCCTCACCCGCCGCCCGTTGCCCGTGTTCCGAAGTATTTTAAGAAACTATATTTATATTTTATTAATATACGCTTGTATGTATATTTTGCCATGAAATGATATATACAGAGTCTCCTATATTCGTGTTTTATCTTTCTGGATGTGTGAATGTATGCAATATATACTATTATACATATTTATTGAATTAAAATATATCTATCTATGTTATCTGAGGACACCTCAAAACGATGTAGTATATTTTGTATGATATGGAATTTATTGAAATGGAAAAGTATTGCAGAGTTTTGGGAAAAAGTTGTTGTAAGAGTTAAACATGTTGTCCAATACAAATACGAAATATCTGCTTCAAGTTGGCCTGTTGATATACACCAGTGTTCGTTGATTATTGTTTGGCGTCTGGAATATTATTTCTCGTGGAAATTAATCAACCTTTCCGTTACGCACATTTTCAATCCTATTTTGAAATTATTTAATGGTAGAGTAATAAGTAATAGTTATTAATGAATATCACACGATTCATAAATATGTTATTATCAAACTTATATTCATGACGGTTTCAGAATTATGTTATATTTAATTTGGAGTGAAAGTGAGCAATTACTTCTTCCATTTTCGGATTACTTAGGTCTTCGTAGGTAAACGTTTTAATTATTAGATTAATTGAAATTAAAATCATTCATTAGATAGGATCTTCATAAAAGTAGCAAACTCTCCAACGTCCCTTGGCGCGTATCCTTTGGAGATACTGCTTTAATTCTAATGAAACTGTTATTGTTAGTTTCCTGTGCACAGTCTAGTTACTCGACAGGCGCCCTTTCACGGTCCACTGGTGAACGCAGACACGGGCCAACCTAGTTTGCAAAGTTTGGAGACTCGGCTTCCCGTTTCGGGCACGCCCCTTCTAATTGGCGGCCCAAATCGGCGCCGGCGTTTTGAGCTGTCCTCCGATTCGCCGACATCAAAGCGGGACGAGCCCCGCGCCCGCCATTTTGTCTGACGTCGTGACCATGCTCCTTGGCTCCAGCCATGGCTCTTCCCACTACGCTTCTCACAAAGACCTTTTTGACCAAAACTACTAAAACGGGTAGATGCCATTTCGAATTGAATTATCCACAACGGAGCCATGGTTGGAGCTTGCACTTACCTTCCATTGCCTTGTGCGCGGCGCGTGGTTCTCTGGACTTGTACTGCGAGGCTATTTTATTGGGAATTGGGACAAATTTCCTTTCTTGGTGAATAGAGGGTTCTTGCATTGAGTGAAACAATG